CTGACTCACAAGCTGTGATCTGCGGTGCCCCCTTGTGGCACAGACAGTGACAGCAGGTTGTGCTCTATTGATCTGACTCTGATGGCTGCTCTCCGGCCAGTTCTTGATGTGATGTTATTCAGGGTGTCCTTGACTCACCATACAGCAGCGCCCCCCTGTGTCTGTCCAGGGCTCCTGCAGTCTGTGTGTGTGCTGTCAGTGAGAGTTGTCAGTCCTCAGCTCTGCTGTGGGGCTGCAGTGTGGAAGAGGAGCTGTTATCTCAACAGTGCAGATGTCAGAGGAGAAAAACAGCGCCCCCTGTGTCTGTCCAGGGCTCCTGCAGTCTGTGTGTGTGCTGTCAGTGAGAGCTGCCTCGGTCCTCAGCTCTGCTGTGGGGCTGCAGTGTGGATCAGAGGGGCTGGACACAGCTCTTCTCTCTCTTGAGTGAAGAAAATAAAAACAGATTTCTTTCGCTTTCTGATGTGATGCCTCCCTGTGTTATTCACTTATCCCACAGTACTGCTGCTCCACTCTCCCAGTCCTGCGTTCCAGGGCACAGGGGCTGTGGCTGACATGAGAGAGGTCTGTGTTTGATGGTACACTGAGGCAGGAGACGCCACACCAGGACTGGACGGGCAGTGTGGGGCAGGAGGGGATGGGGTGAATGCACCAGTGACTCTGAAGATTTAGTAGCATAGCTGCAATCCCCACACAACCAAACGATCCTTTCGTTTTTGCAGGCTGTTTAAATAAATGCAATGCTGTGCCACCCAGACAGGGACTCAAACCCTCAGACTACAAGTCTTCTGCTCTCCTGGCTCTTCAGGGCACCTGTAGAGTCTATGTTTAAGACCATTCCAAGTCTTCACTGATGTTCCAAACAAAATAGAAGCCGTCACAGCTGTGCAAAAGTCTTAATGTACTGTTTTAGGTTTTAGGGGTGAGTTTGTGAGGGTGGCGGGTAAGACAAGCACCACCGAAAGGGCTGGACTTCATCTGCCAGCGGAACGGAGCGCTGCCTGCAGTTCCACCTGTGGCCGCTAGAGGGCAGCCGAGCCCGAGCATTTAGCTGGACTCTTTGGTGCTGAAGAGAAATTGTTTTTCATCACGTCTGAATGGTGGGTTACTATTGTCCCACTGCAGAACACCTGAGATCTGACACAAGGGGTGGACACTGTTCTGTCAGGAGACCCCGGACCGTCATCCTCCCTCCCCTCTCGATTCAGTTCAGTTCGCAGTGCTTTACGAGAGACTAATC